CTCTCTCTCTCTCTCTCTCTCTCTCTCTCTCTCTCTCTCTCTCTCTCTCTCTCTCTCTCTCTCTCTCTCTCTCTCTCTCTCTCTCCTCCCTTGTACCTTCTCTTCGTCCGCCACTTCCCCTTCCATCAACATCCCCCTTTGCGAGCACCCCGGGTAACCTCACCCTTTCCCTCTCTGCCTTCTCCTCTTAACATGTGACTAACCTACCCTCACTTGTTACATTGCCAGGGGGCGACCGGTGAAAAGAGGCAGCCTCACTTGGTGGAGAAAGAGGGCAAGGGGAGGGCAGCCGGTCCCTTGCGCCACCAAGAAGGAGCAAAGTGAAAGACTTGTGAACTTGGAAAAGCGGAAACATTGAAAAGGAAAGTGTGCAAGGTCAGTTGACTCAACCATTTCCCCGGCTGCATGACTAAGGGAAGAGCATGGCTTGACTGGGGAAGAAAGGAAAAGGGTGAAGGAACCATGAGAAAGGAAAGGACTTAGGCTTGCGGGAAGGGCGATGCGTTGACCCCAATGGGGGGATGGATGTTGTTCCTTGCTTGTGTGGGAATTGTGCAGGTGAGTAGCTCGGGATGAATTTGAGCGGTGTGGCCTAAGGATAACGCTTAGCCTATGCACGGAAAGAAGAGAAATCTCCAATAAACCCCCCTGGACTGCCTGAGTATTGGAAGGAGCAATTGCTTGCAAACACAACGGGGAATTGAGAATCTACGCTTGCGACAGTCGACCAGCGAGGCTACCACCCAAAGCAAGGGCTGAGCTACATCCCCAATGTTAAGCTCTCTCGCCCTATTGGCCCATCCCCATCCATACCAAAGCACTAGGTGGGGGTGGCCCCGGGACGAATGACCCGCGCCCGAAGCTTGAGCGTGGGCGGGTCGAGCCAAGTGGGACCCGCAACGGGGTCGACAAAGGCTCGAAAGTCTACCAGGGTTCGGCCCGACACCGGTCTTGTGCTTGGGGAACGGCCCAGTAATGTTCATGGTAATCGCTTCCCTCTGGCGCAAGGGGACCGGTAATGGTCGCAACTTGCCCTACGGACGATGGTTGCTGGATTTGCAACGTCAGCAAACCTCGCATGACTCGCAAAATAGCGTGTGACGTCGCCGAGAAGGTCGGGCCACCAAAAGCGCTCGCAAAGTTGATGCACAATCGTAGATGCTTGTTCTTCTTCCGTACGAAGAGAACTGGCGCTCCATATGGGAGGTACTAGGGCGGACCCAACCCTTGTCCAACAAGTCATCGAGTTGCGCGCGGAGGACCGTGAGCTCCTCCTCGCTCATGCGATAAATGCAACCTTTCGGCGACACGGCACCACACTAGTAGGTGACTCGAAGATGTCGACGAACTCGTCGAGCAACCGCACCACACGGGGGTTCGAAGACAAGTCCGTGGGTGAAGAGTCGGCTACCGTGACGGTCCGTAGGAAACATAGGCTGCTTTCGTTGGGCTGCTCGTAAGCACAATTAGCCCGAAATGATTTGGCCGTCACCACTTGGCACCGAATCGAAGGGTGTTGAAGAGGAATAGTACACGACACTTCGGCGCCGAAGGCGTCGCGAACGGTAAGAGTCCGCCGGTGGAAGTTGACCATGTGATCCGCACTTGCAAGCCAAGGCATTCCCAAAATAATGTCGAAGTCCATGTCCAAAATGTCGAATGTCACCGGTTCGCATGCATGAGGTGCGAAATACAGCGGTACGGCCTCGATGTAGTGGTCGATAAGTTGTTGCGTCCTTCCGTCCGCCAACTTGCCTTCCTTTGAACTTGTGCGCCAAGGCCAACCTTTTGCATAAAGGCTTGGCTCATAAAATTGCGAGACGCGCGGCTATCCAGCAAAGCGCTGCAGGACACTTGCCCAACTTGGATGCAGATATAGAGAAGTGGTGTGTTGTTGTCGTCGTACCGCTGATTGCGAAACTCGTGGGCCACCTTGGTAACATATGCAAGGATGTCCCTCACCGCGACTTCGTCATCCGTCGACGAAGTTGGTGGTGCATAGAAGGATAGGTACGTGTGAAGATGAGCGCATAATGTTGCGCATTGCAGTCCCGACAAGCGGCCCGTGGTTGGGAGAGGAAGCCATGCGAAATCCTCGGATGTTAGCGGGTCCAATACCTCTATGTTGAACTCGCGAGCCGAATCCCGTGAAGAACCACTTGAAGACGATAACTTGCCGTTGCCGGACGGAGAAGATGCCGCACGCACGTTTTGTCCTTGAGCATGAGTACCCAGCGTAGAATGAGCCGAGTCCTCAAAAGAATAAAGAAGAGGAGGACTATCGACTTCCCGCATATGCCTCGGAACGAAGGGAAGTCACCCGCCAAGTTACCGGTTCCGAAGGCGTCGAGAGTGTCGTCGAGTCACTCCCGACGGTGCTCAGCTTACCGATTTGCCCTTGCCTTTCGACTGGCAGGCCATTGTGTCGTGGAGATCGCTGTTACACCATAGACAATAGCAGAATCTCGTGCATGCCTTGTATGCTTGCTTGGAGAGACCGTAATGGGACCATGGGGTTGGAGCTGCTGCGCCGAGCCCGGGGCTAGATGTGGTGTTTGTCTTCGCCTTGCCGCGTCCTCGGGCGTTGCTGGGGCGGCCACCTTCGCGGGCGGCTGCGAGTCTGTCCCCTTCATTGGAAGACACGGCCTCGCTAGTTTGGTCGTTTGGCGTTGCCGCCGCGACCATGGCCACTTTCGACCGATGCTGATCTTTGCTCAGGCATGGCGTAGACGAACGTTGGAGATTCTTGGCCTTCTTGTTCGTGACAATAATTTGTGCAGCCTTGTCGAAGAGTTCTGCCGGTGTCGTCAGGGTGTCCTTGACGTGAGTCAAGGCATTGCCCAACGTCGGACACGACCTCGAGATGAAGTAGCGTTTGATGGCTTTGAAGCCCATTTGAATGTCAGGGACGGATGTCAAGCGTTGGTACTCGGCAATCCAGTCAACACTCGACAGCGTGGCTTGTTCGAAGACCATCAGCTTGTCCATTGCCTTGATATTCAGCGGCTCTACTTGGAACCACTTATGCCACGCCGGCTTTAGATCATCCGAGATGATCTTGGTATGCAAGTCGGCAGCCACCACTCCGTACTTGGACAAGAGATTGTCCAACCATGTTTGGCACACGTCCCCGACTGGGAGTATAAGTACGAGTGGCGCTTGTTTTCTTTGACGTAGTGTAGCTGCAACATGAGCTCGAACTTGCGGAACCATGGAATCGGGTCTGTCTTCGTCGAGTTGCAGAAGATTTCCTGCCCATCGAACTTTGGAGTTGTCTCGCGCGGTTCCGAGCTCGAGTGGTTGGCGGCAGTACAAATCCGCTGCTCCAACGGTTGCGTTGCGGTTTGCTGTAACTGCACGCCGTCCTTGAGGGAGCCGACGTCAATCTCCAATGCCTCGAGGCGATCGGAGGTGTTGGAAGAGCTGGCATCGAGGGTGGCGATGGGTCGCTGCTCCAGCTGCCGGAGGCGACTGTGGACTTGAGCCAACGCGTCGTCGAGGCTGTGGATATCTTCCTGTTGTGAAATGCATGTTGCCAGGAGGTCCGTGAGATGGGAGAGGAGGAGAGCGATCTTGTTTTCACTCTCTTACATCTTGCCATTCTCGGCCTCGGTCAGCCAATCCGCTGCCATTGTGAGCAAAGCTTGCTCTCCGCTGAATATCTTCTCGCGACGTTGAACTCGTTCTTCATCGGCAGCCTTTGCTGCTGCCTCATTGTGCTGGCACTGTTGTTCAATTGCCAACAGACGTGCCTTCTCGGCATCCTCTGCCTTCTGCTTTGCTGCGGCTGCTACTGCATCCGACTGCTGCTTAGGTTCGGTAATCAGAAGCAGCATCCGGGCCTGATAGGCCTCGTCCGTTTCCCCGGACTTCTGGTCCATGACGGCTGTTTGCGAGCGCAAAAGCATAGACCAGGCCGGGGGCCTGCTGATGTGGTACTGCCTGCTGCTGACGTGGCCTGCTGACGTGCCCTGCTGATGTGGTCTGCTGACGTGGTCTGCTGACGTGGCCTGCTGACGTGGCAACTTACCAATGTCGCCGCAGGGGGTACCTGGAGACAGATAGAGAAGGTAAGACCAGAGGGGGCAACAACATAGGTGGGGAGGGGTGGGTGGGGGTAAATCGCCCAGATAAGGAGCCACTAATATTTAAAAAAAAAGTTTGAACTTTGCCAAAAAAAAAAATATTTCGAGAAAATAAAAAATCCCGACTTTTGCAAGTTCTGTAGGTCTCCCAACCTCCCTTGAAGTGCAAAATTATCACTGAGAGAAAATAAATAAATAAATAAATAAATTCGAACTTTCGGACTGCCAATGATTATCAGGTAGTGAAAATCATAGAACTGCGAATAAGAACATTTCCGAAAAGAACTAACCAATATTCGGACTTACTCAGGTGAGAGTATTCGCAGTTTGAAAAATGGTACTGCAAGAGGGATTTCCCGTACCGCTTTGAAAAATACGGGTTTCGGAAACAAATATTCCGAACTTCCAAATAACGGGAAATTGCAAACGGAAATCGAAATTTTCAAAAAAAGATATTCCGGATTTTCTAACAACGAAATATCGAATTTTCAGAAGAAAAAACAAAAACAGAAATTTCAGATGTTGCGCTATTGCGATTTTCCACAACAGAAATAGCGAGCAAACAAAAATCCAAGAAAAGAAAAAAAATTCGATTCTCGGCAGTGAGGTCAAAATCGTGATTTTGGGGGCTAACTAGTATGCTCTAATCAATCAATCAAGACTAATCAGCTACCTAGTACCCTCACACGTGTTAGATCAGGTTGTCCTGATTCATGTGCGGTGTTCCGATACCAACTGTTACATGCCCTGTTGGGCGATGTACATATAAAACCCGAGGATCCGCGATGTGATGAAAAGGACTGAATGGACAATGCAGTGCAAGTAGAATCTCAACAAGCAATGTGCATTCTGATACATACAAACATGGTGCTTTATAGCGCAGGGAAGACTAAGATACAAGTCCTGACCTGACCGGGACTGACCTCTTTCGCGTAGTACAAGATAGCGCAGCAGAATACTAGAATACTAATGACTAGCCCAATCAATGCTACAACGCAGACCAAACACACATCATTCTCACCATACGGTGTGAAGGGAGCCTGGCGCTATACACAGGAAGAGGCGCCAGGTCCAGTTCATGCACAGGCGAAGAGGAGAGGATCAGACGGAGAAGAGGAGGGGAGAGATGGGAAAGTCGTCAACACCAAGTCTCGTTACAAGTCCCAAATAATCCCTCGTCAAAATGTCTAAAGTCCAATGTCGAGTCTGGATCCAAATGTCACCAAGCTCTCTCTCTCTCTCTCTCTCTCTCTCTCTCTCTCTCTCTCTCACACACACACACACACACACACACACACACAC